GCAAGACTTCTCAAACCAGGGCTTTCCAACCAAATGCATTTTTTACACTGTGAACAAGAGAACAGCAGTGCGCAGAACCCACACGAGGTGCACGATCCACGAGGAGGTGCCACACACGGGAAGTTTCTTCTCCGAATGGCTCAGCTCTGTGTTGCAGATACAGACACGATCCCACCACACAGCAATGTGCTGCCCTGAGCTCTGGAAACCCAAGGCGTGGGCTCAGAGAGCTTCACACACTGCAGCTCCATGCTGTACAAACATGGATTCTAACCCCAAACCTCACCCTCAAGGGTGGCAGGGAAATTCAACAGCACACCAAGAAGACGAGGTCTGTCCTAGGAGGAAGCCATGCTATTCCTGCCTTCCCACAGCCTGTGTAAGTCTGTGCATCCTGCAGACAGCCCCAGCCTGCTGTGTGCTCGCTGCCACCAGCTCCAGGGTGCCCACGTACCAGAAATGCCCACTTCTAGCTGGCTCAATTCAAGCTGGATTTGAAAAGCAAAGCGCTGCAAGGTGTAGCTACAATATTTTTGCCACCTGCCTGCATTCAGCCTTCGGGTTCATTGCAGAGCCAAAGCTGGAGGCGCTGCAGATCCACACCAAGCTGTGTGCTATCTGTGCCTTTTTACACCACCCCTCCTGGCAGAGCAGAGCCCGGCCTGCAGTTCAGTCCTGAGGTGACAAACACTTGATGCTGTGCAACAACTGCACACCCATCAGTGCTCCGAGACCTCACAGAGCCCCGCATCAGCTCCCTGCACCCACCTGAAGGCTCTGTGTCTGCTTTTGGCCCTAAAGACGTGGCAGAGGGGCTCTGACCAGCACAGCACAGCAGTGCTCACCTGAAGCACTCGGGGCAGAGCCCTGCATGAAGCGTGAGGAGCAAAGAGCCTCACAGCACAGCATGGAGCTGCAGGTGCCAGGAAACGCCTGCAGGAAACCAAGGGACAGCGGCACCTCTGAAGGAGCCTTTGTGAACAACAAACAGCACACCAGCAAGCTCCTCGGCGTGCTTTTACAACCCCAAGGACTTTCACCCCACCAAATTCTCTTCGATGCATGACTTCCTTTGAGAAGTGCTGTTCTCACTGCTTCTTTCACGTGAGCAATGCTCAGGTATCACCACCACTGGTAGGACAGACGTTCTCCCAAACCCTTCTTTCCACGCCTGGAAGGAAAGGAGGGAAGCCAGCATCTGCTGATGAGCATTTCCAGCTGCTCACCTCCTGAATCGTGCAGCTCACCAAAGCTGAATTGCAGAGCTCAGCCTGAGAGAAGGGCAAACCCTCCTCACTGCTGCACGCAGAGCCAGATCCCCAGCCGAGGGGCTCCCAGGTTTCCTTCCCAGCTTTTATTCACTGAGGAAAGCTGCAGGTTCGCTCCTCTCCCTTCCCAGATCACGTTTTTCATTCCACACACATCTCACTGCAGATGACAGCAGCGGGGTTGATGCGAGCAGCCACGACAATCACACACACAGCAGGGAACCTCTCAAAAAGAAAAAACAACAACCAGCATCACCATTAAACCCCTTTTTATCGCCTGCAGGCAGCAGTTCTGTCTTCCTTTCACCTTTTCACCGCAACGCTTCATAAAGACGAGAGCCACGCCTGCTCCCAGGGAAGCCAAAAACAGTACAAAGTCTGCAGCAGCACAGGAAGCCACGGGCTGGGAAACACAGAGGGCGTAGGGATGCAATGAGCTGCAGGGTCAGCGCTGTGTCAGCCCTCGCCTGTGGGTCAAGTTCTGCACCTCATTAGCAGGAAGGCTCCTAACAGGTTCACCTCTGACGAAGGCAAAACAAACAACAGAGGCCACAGGAAAAACAACAACACCACCATCACCACGCTCTCTGGTTTTAGAGATGCAATAATTAACAAAGGTGTGTTGAGAGCGTTTGTGCGGCTCTTCCTTTCCTGGCTCGATGAAGCGCCGAGGGCTGCAGTATGGATCAGGTTTGGCCCAGCACCCACCAGGTTCTGTCGCCTCCCTCTGCCGCTGCACATGCAAGGAAGCAGCTCCTGCCCTGTGCACAGGCAGAGGGGAAGGAAGCATCCCCTGTGTGGAGCTGCGTGCTGTACAGGAGCTGGCTCTGCTGGTCGCACAAGGACGCATCAACGCTGCAGGGCTCTGCCTTCAGATGCCCCCTCTCCCAAAACGCCAACGGCCTGGAGGCCATCGCCCGATCCCTGACCAAAACTCACACGGCTCCTCTGTGCCACCACAGCCCTGCATTCACCTCCCAGCCGAGCTGCTGGCAGCGCCTCTTAGGATTTGGGGATCAGGTGCTGCACTGAGGATGGAGTTCATCCACGCCAAGCGTCCGAGACAACAGAACTGGAGGAAGCAAGAAAGCAAGCTCCCCGCGTTCATTCTCAGCACTTCACAGAACCCTTCAGGGCTTTTTTAAAGGAGTTTGCGTGCTCTGCCCTGCTGTCACACCCTGGGAATGGACGGAAAGCACTTTGCCTCCTCAAGGCCCCGTAACCTCCCATGTGCAGCACTTACAACCCACAGGCAGCCTGCAGCTTGTTTTCCCCCACAGCTCCTAACTCCGGTCATTCGGTTTCATTTCTAAATGAAAACAAAACCTTGCGAAGCGCATTCACCTGCTTATCTCCCCTTATGCCTCACAACAAAGTTATAAGCAGCTGTTAAGAGCACCCAGCTCCAGATAAAAGCTCTGCTTTACCGAAAGCCTTATTGTGAGTCACTGCTCTAAAAGCCAAGATTAAAAATTTACCAGCAACTCTGTCCACGAGCCCCACTGAAGACACGCAATTCAAAGTGCTTCTAAGCTACTGGAAATGCAGCACTGCCCCCTGGTTAATTCACTAAAACGGGGCCAAAGGATTCAGAAAATGCAGTGACTTCACTCGACAGCCCCAGAATATTCTGCTTCTGCATGAAATAATGGTAATAAAAAAGATCAGTCTTTATTATGAAGTGTTGTTGCCAGCAGGGGAACAGAAAACCTTGGGCACAGAACACCAGGCACCACCATTAAACACCCTAACTCAATAAGAGTGAGCACTTCACAAGAAAATGAGCACTATGCCTTCAGGAGAGCTATAAATCACAGGAAATCCATCTGAGCAATAAAGCCCATGGCATCTCTGATGGATGACTCTGCTCTGACAGCTGCCTCCCCCTCTTCCCACACACAGGAGATGCTTTTAAGACCTCAACCCTGTAATTCACCCAACGTATAAACTATTTCCCTTTTGGAAAGCATCAAGTCATTAAAAAATAATAACAGAGGGCACAAAGCATTGCTCAGTTCCTTCAGACCACTAAAAGCTGTCAGAGCACCAGCAGCTCAGCCCCAGCTTTTGCTGCACGTACACACGCAGCTCCTGACCACAGTTTCTGTCCCTGCTTCCTCACTCTCTCACCAGAGCGTGCACCACAAGCTCAGCTGCCATTCACCACCGTGATACGATTGAGGAAGCTGCCTGACAGCAGCAGAGCTGCTTTCCAGGACTGGCCAAGCCTTCCCAACAAGGCAGCAGAGGGCAGCTACACGAGGGATGCACCTTGGGCAGCTCAGACAGATGCTGACAGCACACCAGGGGACAGATGTGCTGCCCGTTCCCCGATGAGCACGGTGAGGAGAGAGCAGAGTTCTGCAGGCAGAGGCTCAAACCGCCAACGGTCTGCAGCCCCACGCAGCTCTGTGGCAGCAGAGGAGCCATAAGAGGATTTCTCAGCTCTCCCACTGAAGCTCGGCCTCATCCCACCACGTTTGGGCTACAGAGGAAGGGCACAGCTTGCTACAAGGCCCGAGGGCCCTCAGAGCGCGGGGCACGACGCGGGGCAGCCCCGCCCGGCCCGGCTCCGCCCCGCCAGGCCCGGCCCCTCCACAGCCCGCCCCGCCAGGGCCCACATCTCCGGGGAAACGGCCGGCCGGGCAGCCTTGGGGTCCCACCCGCTTGGACCCAGCTCCCCAGAACCGTGAAGGCAGCCTCAAGCCCGGCCGGCAGCCCCACCCGCCTACCTGCCCACCGGGTCCGATCCCGCTCCGCCTCCGCCCGTCACCAGTGCCGGCCCCAGCGCTCCCGCAATATGGCGGCCGCTGCCGGCCGGAAGTCCCGCCCCTCCGCGCGGGGCACGACGGGAGGCCCGTCCGCCTATTCGAATAAATACAGGAAGTACCAGCGGGCGTTGTTATGACAACGGCGCGGCCTGCTCCGATCCGCGGGGCCTCGGCGGGGAGCGCGCCCGCCCTGTCCTGTTACTCATTGTTCCTCCGCCGGGCTGCGTTTACAACGAGCACTAATAAACGGAAGCTAAAGACAGCCTCGATCATTCACTCAAAATAAAACCAAATCACACGGAGCGAGTGAGGGAAGCCCCGTCGTGCCCCCCTCTGCCGGCCCGCAGCCCGACCTGCGCCGCACCCGCTCTCCTCCAGGCCGGGCCGAGGCGGCGCCGCCCCGCCGTGACCTTGCGGCCGAATCACTTCCAGGGCGGCCCAGGCTCTCGATTTGAAAATGCGGGAGCGGCTGCTGGTGCTGCTGTGTGCTTTGGCGAGGCGGGCGGGAGGGCGGAGGAGGGCCATGGCCGGGCGTTGGGATGGGCCGCAGCGGCGGGCGTGGATCCGGCATTATTACAGCCAGCGGCAGAAACGGCTGATGACGGTGAGGGGCGGAAATGGGGACGGGGAGGTGGGGAGGGGTGGAGGTCACAGGGACACAAAGGACGGGGATCGGGGAATGGGGCTGTAAGGATGAGCACGAAGGGCTGGGGGTGTAGAGGTGTGGGGACACGGAGGTGATGGAAAATGGGGCATGGAGAGACAGTGGTAGGTGAGGGGGCACAGACGAAGCGTGGGGATGTGAAGGACGCAGAGGTCACAGGGACACAAAGGACAGATGGTGAAATGGGGAATGTGAGGCTGGGCATGAAGGGATGCAGAGGACACAACAAATGGGATACAGTCAATGGGGGGCAGGGGGTACAGTGATGTAAAGGAGGGAGCATGGGGGGCATAAAGGATGAGGGATCGGAAGGATAAGGGACAGAAGGTAAATGGGTCACAGGGGCACAAATAGCGGGGATGGGGACACAAATGATGGGGGGGACACAGAAGAGGGGGGTTTTGAGCATGAGGGGCAGCGGTTGCAGAGGGGATACAAAGGACATGGGGGCACAAAAAATGGGATGTGACTGATGGAGGACATGAGGACATAGGGAGATATAAGATGGGGTGTGGGGGACACAAATAATGGACACAAAGGAGGGGGACAGGAAGGACACAGAGGGGACACAGGGACACCAAGGGTAGGGACCAGGGGGACAAAAAAGGACCGGGGACCTGAAGGACATGCGAATGAGAGCCTGGACACAAAAGGCAGTGCACAAAGTACAGAGGAAGCAGAGGATGTAGGAATGTGAGGGAGAGGGGTTGTAAAAGATGCAGAGATCACAGAAATGTGGGGGACAGGGACACAGTGGGATAAAGGGTGAAAGACTGGGAACAGAAAGGATGGAGAACAGGAAAGATACGGGACAGAGGAACTCAAGGGATGGGGACAGGAAGGGCACAAAGGACAGGTTCCTGGGGCTTCACAGGAATGCAAGGGTTTGATCCCCCTGCAGCAGCTCCTGGAGCCCAGGGCCATTGGGCATCCCTTCATCCTGTGGTGCTTGAGCTTGCTTTGTCCTCAGAGGGCAAAATAATGTGGGCTGAGGGGGAATTAGGGTTGTGGAACAGCTGTCTCACAGCCCCACGGTCTCCCCGCAGCTCCTGATCGCTCGCCGGAGGAGAACCAGCTGCTACTTCTATCCCCGCGCCTGGCCCAGCCTGCGGGGCGCAGACTGGTGGGAACGGGTGGTCCTGAAGGAATTCGGCCCCCAGGACTGGCTGGAGAAGTTCCGCATGTCCCGGGAGACCTTCTTCTACATCTGCAACCGCCTGCGGCCGGGGCTGGCCCCGCACAGCTCCCACTTCCACCCCACGCTGCCCCTGGAGAAGCGGGTGGCTGTGGCCCTGTGGCACTTGGCCACCAATGTGGAGTACCAGACTCTCAGCCCGCTCTTCGGCGTCGGGCCTTCCACCGTGCAGACGTGCGTGCGAGAGGTGAGCTACGCCGTGGTCCTGCTGCTGAAACCCCTCTACCTCCGTCTGCCCGATGAGAAGGAGCTGGAGAACATGGTGCGCATCTTCCGCACCCGCTGGGGCTTCCCGCACTGCATCGGAGCCCTGGACAGCCTGCACATCCCCATCAACCCCCCGCTGCGCCTGAGCGCCGATTACTGCAACGGGCAGGGCTGGCACTCCATCCTCACCCAGGCCACCGTGGATGGGCTGGGCCAGTTCTGGGACGTCTCCACCGCTTTTCCCGGCAGCATGGAGAACAGCGCGGTGCTGGAGAGCTCCAGCCTCTGGGTGCTGGCCAAGGAGGGCCGGCTGTGCCCCAACCCGCCCAAGGACTTCATGGGCAAGGCACAGAAGTACGTGCTGCTGGGTGACGCCACTTACCCCTTGCAGGACTGGATCCTCAAGCCCTACCAGGAGGATGAGAGCCTCACCCAGCGCCAGCTGCAGTTCAATTATCGCCTCAAGCGGGCGCACAGCGTGATCGAGAACGCCTTCCTGCGCCTGAAGGCCCGCTGGCAGATCCTCCTCAAGTGTGATGACTGCAGCCTGGAGCTGCTGCCCACCCTCGTCCTGGCCTGCTGCATTCTGCACAACGTCTGCGAGGCGCACGACAACCCATTCAACGAGGAGTGGCTGGAGGGCACCGAGCCCACCGAGCTGCCCAAGCCTTGCCAGCCTGCACCCGCTGCCATGGAGGACGGCCGGGCTGAGCAAGTGCGTGAACTGATGTGTCAGTACTTTGAGAACTGTGGGGAGGGCTGACGGCTGCAGGGGGAACACGCCGTGCTCCTCCTTGGGCCCTGTGGGTCGGTGTCAGCCCTTCGGTTCATGTTGGCTTTTGCCTCTCGGCTGCAGGCAGAGGGATGTATCTCACACCTGGGCTCTCTCTGCTGGGATTTGAGCAATGTAGTGATGTGCTCTGTATTGTGTGAATAAAGCAGGGTCGTGGTTTGGCCGGGGAGAGGGTTGTCAGGTCATCCCGTTGCAAGGGTATGGCTGCAGCCCTGGTGTTGGCAGGACTCAGAAGGGCTGGAAGTGAGGAGGCAGAGCGCCAAAGCACAACACCCGTTGCGCAAACGCGTGCAGACGTGGGAGGGGAGGAGGAAGCAGAGCAGTGACTTGCTGTGGGCTGGCACCAGCTGGGAATGGAACTGCACCTGCAAACCCAGCTCTGCAGGACTAAAATGTTGTGCTGGGGGTCTGAGCCCTATTCCACTGTGCTGCCGTGCAGGGAAGCACGCAGCTCTGCTGCTATCGGCTGAGAAATCACGCAGTGGTGGCTGAGCCCCGTGGCACACTGCTTCACTGTGCCAAGGCAGGGCTGGGCACAGACACCTTCCTCAGCACTTTGTTCCAGGCGGTGGGCGGGGGAGCAGCTCAGGCATGCTTGGCTGCGCCAGCCTTCCCACGGGGATGGATCCGGGCTCGGGGGGCAGTGGGGTGGCTGCCACATCCCCGAGTTGGCTGCAGCCCCAAATCTTCTCCCTCCTGGCACCCGCCATGCTGAGATCTGCTCACCGGCTGTCAGCATTGAGTGGGGTCTGTTTGCAGCCTGTCCCGTTTTCACACATCGGTGCATTTTGCAGCCAAAATGTGATGGTGCGTAGCCAGGAGGTGGGACCTTCAAGCTGGGAGCGTGGGAGAAGAGCTGCAAAGCTCCCTGCGAGGGGCTCAGCACCGCCAGCCTCGGGCCATCTCACACCAGTGATGGAAGATCAGCATGCCTAGGAGAGGGGTGGGTGGGAAAGCACAACCAAGAGCACTTTCACATCCGTTAGCAGCAGCAGGTTGGGAAACACCCACATGTGCGGAGCGCAGAGCAGGAATGCACGTACTGCTGGGTGCCTGTGGGGCTGGGGCCTGGGTGGGCTCAGAAATGCCCTTGGCTGAGCGCACAGTCCAGGCAGGGGAGGGAAAACGGTGACTTCTGATTCTGTGTTTGGGCTGCGGGGCACAACTGGGGTGAGGGAACCGCCAAGAAGGGCAGTGGGAGGCCATGGGGATGTCATAGGGAATCATTGCAAGAGGGGGCGTGGGGCAGCCTAGAAGCCCTGGAGAGCCTCACGGGGCAGCCCTGGGGATCCACAGCATCTATGGGAGGGCGCGGGGCACCCAGAGCCCGCGGAGCAGCGCTGCAGAGCACCGGGCCACCCACCGCCCCGCGCCTGCCCCAACGCCACTGCGCATGCGCCGCTGCTGGCCTCGTTCCCCCTCCGCTCCCACTTCCGCTGGCGGCCATCCCATCTCCCTCAACCGGAAGAGCGGTTGTAGGAACTTCCGGGGTGGTCACGTGGGGACCATCATGGCTGCGCGTGGTGAGTACGGGTCCGGGCGGTTCCGGGTCCGGCGCGGTTTAAGGCTCGGCTCGTTGCGGGCCGCTTCGCTCCGGTTCCGGCCCGGTTAAGGTCCCGGTCCCTCTCGGGGATCTCACCCGGCCGGCTCCGCTTCCACCCCCATCCCCGCCCCGTGGGTCCGAGCCTCATCGTCACGCGGCCGGGCCCACTCTCCCGGCCCATCGCCGCGCGGGCCTCACTCGGACGCCTCGGATCCTTTTTTTACACAGGAACGTGAGCAGAGAGCCGTGACCCCGAGCTCCCGACATGGTGACCGAGGAGGAGGTGGCCGCCATCGGCCGCACGCTGCTGGATGCTGCCCAGCCGCTTCCCGCCCGCTTCCGCGCCCTCTTCACCCTCCGCAACCTGGGCGGCCCCGCGGCCATCGACTGCATCGTGCGGGGCTTTGCCGACAGCTCGGCGCTGCTGAAACACGAGCTGGCTTTCTGCCTGGGCCAGATGCGCGACCGTGCCGCCATCCCCGCGCTGCTCAGCGTGCTGCAGGACAGACGGCAGGAGCCCATGGTCCGGCATGAGGCAGGTATGGCCCTGCAGGACACCATGTGTTGGTGCGCCGCGCACCGAGAGCACGTCGCCACATCCCCTGGCCCAACCGGTTGGCCAGGCCTTGTCTCCCCACTGGCCGTTGCCATGGCGGTGGTTTTTGGGGAGGAGGACATGGCAGTGTGCCCGAGTGGCCAAGAAGGCCGATGGCATCTTGGTTGTGTCAGCAATAATGCGGCCAGAGGGAGCAGGAGGTGATCGTCCCCCTGTACTCAGCTCTGTGAGGCTCAGTGCTGTGCTCAGCGTTGTGTTCCTCACTACAAGAAAGACATTGAGGCACTGGAGTGTGTCCAGAGAAGGGCAATGGGGCCGTGAGGGGTCTGGTGTTGAGGGAATGGGGTGGGTCAGTGTGGAGAAGGGGAGGCTGAAGGGGCCTCGTGGCTCTCTCCAACTCTGTGAAAGGAGGTTGTGGTGAGGGAGGCTCGGCCTCTGCTCCTGGGTAATCCTATCCCAGCGGTAGGATGAGAGGCCTTCACCAGGGGATGTGGTGAGTGGACATGGCGGGGGTGGGACGTCAGGTGGAGTTCATGACCTCAGAGGTCTTTTCCAACCTTGTCATTCTGCCTAGGGAGGCTGTGGATGCCCCATCCCTGCAGGCATTCGAGGCCAGGCTGGATGTGGTTCTGGGCAGCCTGGTCTGCTGGTTGGGACCCTGCACACAGCAGGGGGTTGGAACTGATGATCATTGTGGGCCTTTTCAAGCCAGGCCATTCTAGGATTCTATGATTTTGGGGTGTTGGGGCACAGCTGCATCCCTGAGGCTCTCCTGGGTTTCTCACACCGGTCAATGTGAGGGAGGGCGGACAGCCTGAAACACCCCCACCTGCTGACATCTCCTTTCCTCAGGTGAGGCCCTGGGTGCCATTGGGGATCCCGAGGTGCTGGACATCCTGAAGCACTACTCAGAGGATCCCGTGGTGGAGGTGAGGCTGTGAGGGTGGCAGTGCCATGAGGTCGGCACTGTTGGCATGGGAGGGTGACACTGGGGACTACAGGGTGACACAAGGGACTGGAGCCGCCGTTGCTGTCACAGCCACGCAGCCCTGCTGCTCAGAGGAGCTCTGTGCTTGCTCCCAGCCCTGCGCAGTGCCTCCACACCGTGTCCCCGTCCCCACAGGTGGCAGAGACGTGTCAGCTGGCCGTCAGGAGGCTGGAGTGGCTGCAGGAGCACGGGGAGGAGCCGGGCAGCAGCCCCTACCACTCGGTGGATCCTGCTCCCCCCGCCGAGGAGACAGATGTGGCCGCACTGCACGCAGTGCTCCTGGACGAGTCGCGCCCGCTGTTCGACCGCTACAGGGCCATGTTTGCCCTGCGGAACCTGGGGGGCCGTGATGCTGTGCTGGCACTGGCTGATGGTAAGGGCTGGCCTGGGGCTGTCTGCTCGCTGTAGATCTGCACATGTTAATCCACAATTGGATTTCCCAAATCCAGAGCTGCGTGGCTGCTTGCACTGCTGCTTCTAGAGCTGCCTGTCGCTCTGCTCGCGGAGCGCCCGGTGCTCTCTGCTGTCTCACAGCCCCCCTCTCACTCACTGTCTCTGGGGTTTGCCAGGTTGTGCTGATGTTTCCTGGGACTGGGGAACTGCTTCCCCATCCTGGAGGGGTTGAGGACATCCAGCCTCACTGTGAGCTTTGGGAGTCATTCTGGAGGAGGGCGTGCATGTGCCCTGGAAGGGAAAGGGGCAGAGCAGAGTCCATGACCACCCTGCTGGTTACCTTCTGCAGCCCCAGGGAAGCCGACGGTGCACTCCAGCATCAGTGTGAGCCAAGGGTTTGGAAACCCTGTGCCGTGGCTTCCCTGTCCCACAGCAGCACAGGAGGGCTGTGAGGCACTTAGCAGTGAGGCACGTGGGGGCAGGAGGTGGCACGAGGCTGCATCCCGTTCCCCCAAAGCCCCACGCGTCTGGGGAAAGTCAGCGCCCACTGTCTGCCTTCTGGCTTCCTCTGCCCCACAGCGTTTGGATGTGGGGCTCAGCTCACGTTTGGGGGACTCACTCTCACCTCCTCCCTCAGGGCTCCGTGCTGGCAGCGCTCTCTTCCGCCACGAGATCGGCTACGTGCTGGGCCAGATGCAGGACGAAGCCTGCGTCCCACAGCTGACCGCCGCGCTGTGCAGCCGTGCTGAGAACCCCATGGTGAGGCACGAGTGCGCCGAGGCGCTGGGCTCCATCGCGCGGCCCTCCTGCCTGGAGACCCTGCGTGCCTTCGCCCAGGACGAGGAGCGGGTGGTGCGGGAGAGCTGTGAGGTGGCTCTGGACATGTATGAGTACGAGAACGGCCCCCAGTTCCAGTATGCGGATGGGCTCTGCAGGCTGCAGGCCTGAGCCCAGCTGGGCCTCCTGCCTCCTTCCCCCGGGCGCGCTTTCCCTGCTCGCCTCCGTCGGCGCGGATCCGTGGCGGAGGCGGAACTGGGTTTGCTCCCTGGCACAATTACAGCCGCCTTCTGCATCCAAACCCAGGCTGAGCTGCTACTTGCTCCCCGTTTCCTGGATCCGCGCCGTTCCCCGCCCGCAGCCTGGCTCAGGGCTTGGAGTGGGTGGCTGGTGCTGCGTGTCGGAGCCCATCGCCGCACCTCGGAGCGAGCTTCCCCCACCTGAACTCTGCTGGAGGGGTCGGGGGGGCTGCAGGCAGCAGCTCCGGTGGGTTGGAGCTGTGCGATGCCTCGAAATCGCCCACGGTGCTGGTGCAGAGCCGGCTTCCTCTTCATCTCTGCAGCTGCTGGAGGATCTCTGTGGGTTTGGCCTCTCCTGTCGGGGCAGGCTGGCTCTGTCTCGCGGCAGCCTTTGCCCTGGGATGGGGTTGGTTTCGTGGCACAGCTCGGGAGATTTGGCTGCGGTTTTTCTTTCTGCGGGGAATGGCGCTGTGATGAAGGCTCAGGGTGAGGCAGAGCCTGCCTGGACTTCCCCTGTGTTTAACCAGAGCTGGATGGCTGCCTCTGCCAGCTGCTGCCAGCTCCAGCACCCAGATCCGTGGGGCACGTGGGGGGCTGGGAGGAAAGAAAGCGGCAGCTGCGTGGCTGGGGGGGTCCGGCCGTGGCTGGGGTTCCCTCGGTCTGCATCCACAGGGAGGGGGACGCGGCGTGGGCAGGGAGCAACCCCACAGCGTGCGGCTGAGCCGTCCCTGCAGTGCTGCAGTGCATCCTGCTGACGGTGCTTTCCCCTTGACCAAAGTCTCTGTGAGTCACTCCGCTCGATCCTCTTAGCCCGTAAAGCTGCTGTTGCACACCGTGTTGTCCCCTGTGGGGAGAGAGGGGGGTGGGAGAGGGCAGTGGGGACCCCCAGCGTTTCCCACTCTACTCCAACCAACCCAGAACCCCATGGGGGGTCTTTGTGTGGACGTAACTTCGGGTCACCCAACGCGTGCCGTCGCGCAGCTTCCCGCCTTGCCTTCTTCACCCCACGCAGCACTGCTGGGCTCTGGGATGCACTGCACCCATGGATGCAGGGGACGGGGCAGAGATGTGGGACGTGGGACGCAGATGCGCTGCCTCCCCGTTGCGAGGCAATGGGCTCCTTATCAGCACAAAGATGGGAGTGCTGAGCGGTGATTGCTGCCGTGTTTGCCCCCGGTTATCGCACAGCTCCAACCCTTGCTCTCTGCCTCCAACCCTCCCATTTTTGCATCGTGCTGAGCGAGCAGGAGAGGTGCCAAATTTTTTGCCTCTCCTCCTCATTCCTCCTGCAAAAAAACCAACCAACAACAACAAAAAAAAACCCCCCAACCCTCAGCTCCTTCAAACGCTTTTTAAGTCCGAGTTGGAACCAATCTGGCATTTTTGTGGCTGGGATCTGGCGTGGGCGCAGCAGAGCCGGGATGTTGAGGAGGCGCTGAGCCTCGCACCTCCGGCCCTGCGGGGGGGAGGGAAAGGTTTTGGGTTGTTGCAGAGGTTCTGCGGCTGCTTCTTGCCCCCCTCCCCCCGACCCGCAGCCCTGTTTTGCGCGGCTCTGAGCACCACAGCGTGTTTCACACCATCTGCTCCAAGCATTCGGGGCCAGAATGCGGGGATTTAGGCAGCGGCGGGGGGAGCGAGCCCGCCCTACCCCCCTCCTCCTTTACGGGGATTCCCTGCGGCCCGCCCCCCCTCGTGCAGGGACGCCCATCCCCTGCAGCCCTGCCCCAGGTGTGGATTTTGGGCATCCCGGGGCATCTCCGTCTGCCCCTCCGTGCTCAGCCCCCCCCGCGGTGCCCGGATTACCACGCTAAGCTCCTTCCCACGGGCGCTCTGCCCTCGGTGCCATCCATCTCCCAGTGCAGGGACAGTGGGGACACGAGGACCCCGATGCCGCTTGTCCCCTGCGTCCCCCCACGCAGCGACAGCCAGCGATGGCCCACCCTGGGCTCCCTGTGCCACGACACCTGCTGCAGTCCCCCCCCGAGGAGGACGGGGTGCTGTATGTGGAGTACAAACCCCCGGCCCTGGACAGCATCCGCCTGCCCCGCTACGCGCTCTACCTGCTGATGGCCATCTCCCTGGTGCTGGTGGTGGCGTACGCCATCGTGGGGCACCTCATCAAGGACCTGGTGCACGACTTTGCCGGTGAGCAACGGGAGGGGGATGCAGGTGGGGGTCCCCGAGCCCGTCTGGGAAGTGGGGCAGCGGGAATAGGGTGGCCAGAGGGGCTGCTCTGTGCCCCCAGATGGGTGCAGGATGAGCGTCTCTGCGCGCAGCGCTTTGTACTGGGCACCCACCTGCACAGCATGGGGTGGCGATGGGGGCGCACGCACTGCTGACCGAGCTCTATCCCCACAGATTGGGCATTCGGACCCAAAGCGGAGGAGAAGGCAGTGATGGGTGAGGGGAGCACGCCTGAGGCGGAGGATGGGGCTCAGGGTGAAGGTGTTGGGGCGCTGCCGGGCATGGAGGCCCCATCGCCGCTGCTCTGCGCCGCCCCACGCAGCTCCATCTCCTTCGTGGATCCGCACAAGAAGTGGTTTTTCTAGGGGCACAGGGCTGCACCCACTGCTGGCACTCCGTCCCCATCCCCACCGTCTCTGTGTGTGCATCTCAGGGCTGCTATCGCGCCGCACCCCAATAAATCCACGCTGTGCCCTTGGGGACCCCGACCTTCGCACGGGAACGCACCTGGGAATGGGGCACACGAGGACATGAGGCAGACACGTGGGCTCGGATGGGGGCTCAGATACTTGGACCCAGGTGTGGGTGTCGATGGGGCCGTGCTCCGTGGGTGCCCCCAAGACGGGTTTGGTGGGGACAAAGCGCCCCCGAGCCCCGCTGTGCTGCAGGAGGGGGCATAGACCCCCCTCACACTGGGACAGGGCGCCCATCCCCAGGCTCCACGCGGACCCCATGGGCGCTTCTCACAGGAGGAGCCCCTGCACAGCCTGTGCGTCACCCAGGGGTGCCACCAACCCCCCTGGACCTGAATGGCCTCCAAGGGAAGGAGGGGGCAAAACGGAGCTGCCTGTGATAAGACTTTGCTGATCAGAGCACTGACAGCACATGGGTGTGGTGCGGGCACTGCTTGGATGTGTGATGGGCAGAGGGAGAGAGGTGGCACTGGGCTGCCTGGGCCCTACACCCGTCCATCCATCTGTCCATCCACCCACCCATCTTCCTATCCGTCTGTCTGTCTATCTACTGCTCTTCCATGTTTTCACCTATCCTTCCTTCCTTCCTTCCTTCCTTCCTTCCTTCCTTCCTTCCTTCCTTCCTTCCTTCCTTCCTTCCTTCCTTCCTTCCTTCCTTCCTTCCTTCCTTCCTTCCTTCCTTCCTTCCTTCCTTCCTTCCTTCCTTCCTTCCTTCCTTCCTTCCTTCCTTCCTTCCTTCCTTCCTTCCTTCCTTCCTCCCTCCCTCCCTCCCTCCCTCCCTCCCTCCCTCCCTCCCTCCCTCCCTCCCTCCCTCCCTCCCTTCCATCCAATCATCCACCCAACTTCCTGTCCACCTGTCCATGCTTCCATCCATCTCCTCACCCTTCCACCCATCCACCCCCCACCCCTCCCTCCCTCCCTCCCTCCATTCCCAGTCTCCCTTTGGTGCAGTGTCGTAGCAGAGCAGCAGTTCCACCACCCAAGGGTTAAGGGATCGGCGTTGCCATGGCGTTGGTGGCACTTGGTGGCACTCGCCCTCCTGAGCCCAATAAAAGCCGCCCCTTGGCCTGGTGCAGGGCAGTGCTGTGCAGGGATCAGGGCCACGATGCCGCGTGTCCCACAGCTCCCGCTGCTGCTGCTGCTGGCGGCCCTCACTGCCACCACCCAGGGACAGAGTGAGTGCCACTGCTGCCATCCCACCCCCCAGTGCCACATCCTGGGCTCAGGGTGGCAGGATTTGGGGCTGGGGGGGGTTCTGTTCTCCCATAGGGGTGGGTCGGGGGTGCTGGGGGGGTCGGCACCCCGCTGTCCCCACTGCCCACGGTGTCCCCCAGCACCCCAAGCTCCCTGCACCCAGGATGGAGAGTGCTGTCCCTGTGGGGCAGGCTGGCACCATTGTCCTCATCCCCACCCGTGTCCCCATTGCAGCCCCCAACCTCACTCCTGTCCCTCTTCCCACCTCTGTCCCCATCCCCCTTGATGTCCCTTATCCCCATCCTGTCCCTATTGCCATCACCATCCTTGTCCCCACTGCTGTCCCCACTGACATCCCCACCCCGACCACCTGCCCCTATCCCCGTCCTCACCTCTGCCCCCATCCCTTTCCCCAGCTGCTCTCCCTTTTCCCATTGCTGTCCCTGACCCCTTCCCTACACCTGTCCCCATCCCTGTCTCCATCCCCTTCTTTGTCCCCATCCCTGCTGCTGCCCGCACCCCATTCCTGTCCCATCCCCATCCCTGTTCCCTGACCCTCATCCACGTCCCCGTCCCCACGGCCGTTCCCACCCCGTCCTTTGTTCCCATCCCTATCGCTGTCCCCATCCCCGTCCCTCGACTCATCGCTGTCCCCATCGCCACCGCTGCCCGTCCCCACGGCTGTCCCCATTCCCTCCCCTCCCCATCCACGTCCACATCCCCACTCGTGTCCCCGCTCCCCCCAGCCGCGGGCTCTCGGCAGCTGCAGCCGTGGCTGATTGGTCTCACGGCGGTGGTGGTTTTCCTATTCGTGGTTTTCGTGCTGCTGCTGGCCGGGCGGCTTTGGCGACTGCGGACGCGCAGGTGGGTCCTCGGGAGGGGGGGGGGGGGTTGGGTTGGGGTCCGTCCCCCGAGCGCCGCTCACCGCGATGTCCCCACGCAGCGAACGCGAGGACGACTCGGAGAAGCGGTCGACCCACAGGTAGCGCAGCCCCAGCCGCACCGCCGTCCCATTTTCCCCCGTGGAGCGCCCTGAAGGGTCACCCACGCGTGACCCCCGTGGGATCACCGCTCTGACCCCGCTGTCCCCGCAGCATGGAGCGCGCAGCCTACAGCAACGCCGCGGCCGAGAAAGACAGCGACGACGAACGGGAGAAGAGCAAAGCCACGTCGCTGTGACACGCGTGGGCTTCCCGGGCCGCTCCGTTCCGCGCCGCGTTTTGCGGAGCTCCGTTCGGCCGACGGCAAAACCCGGAATGGATCAAAGGATCGGAGCGGGATGGAGTCGGGGGGGGCACGACGCAGGGAGCTGCTGGATGTGTGTGGGGCGGGGGGGGCTGTGGGGGTCCTCAGTAAAGCTGCCGGGCCGCAGTGTGAGGTGTGGTGTCACGCGTGGGGACTGAGAGGTGCGAGGGGGGGACAGAACGGGGGGGGCACCGGGAGGGGGTCGGGGGGGAGGAATGTCACGTGGCTGAGGGGTGATGATGGGGGGGGGGTCGGCGCCCCACGTGCATCCAGAGCTGCAGCCACGCGTGTCCGTGTTTGTGCCCCACCAGTGTCCCGAGCCGGCCGGCCCTCAGCCCTTCCCCCCCCGTATCCCCACGGCACCCCCCCGTGTCCGCACCCCGACGTGTCCCGTCCTCGCGTGGGGGCACCCACAGCCCCCCTGCATCCCATTGCATCGACCCCAACCCCGACCCTCATCCTAAACTCGACCCCCCCTCCCTCTGCCCACCCCCACGGGGCGCAGCCAGGCCGCACATCGCCCACCCGCGCCCCCCCCCCCCCCCATAAGCAGACACGGACGCTGCGTGGAGTTGAAGCAGAGCTTTGTTTAATTTTTATACATTTTTTTTTCGTCTTTTTTTTTTTTTCTTTTTTTTTTTTTCCGGCTTTTTTTTTTTTAACTTTTTTTTTTTAATTATTATTATTAATATTTTTTTTTTCCTCTCCTTTTTTTTTTTTCTCCTTTTTTTTTTTTTTTTTCCTTTTTTTTTTTTTGCATAGGGGAGGATCGCTTGGGGGGGGGGGGGGAGGGAGAAGGAGGGGAGCGGGGGGGCGAAAAAAAAAAAGCCCCATAATAACAATCCTCAAATCAGCGAGAAAGGAATATAAATCAAAACCCATTGTCACGTTGGGGGGGGGGGAGGGGGGTGCATACAATGGGGGTTTGCATGGCTGAAGCTCCGGATGGGGGGCATGCAGGGGGGGCGGTATGCATCGCCATGGAGGTTGCAGCACAGGTTGCAGCACATCCTGCAGTGGGGGGCAACGCCGTGGAAGCTGCGGTGTGAATCCTGACGTGGAATTGCAGCAGGAATTGCAGCCCAAATTGCGACGGGGTTTTGTTACGGGGGGGCAACGTGGGGCGCTGGGGCTGCGGCGCGAATTGCAGCGTGAGCTGCAGCACGGATCCCAGTGCAAGCCGTGCCGTGGCTGGCAGTGCTGCAGCATGCATTGCTGTGCGAAGCGTGCGGGGGGCTGCAATGCAGCTGGCAATGCAAACTGCAGGGCAGCTGCAACACAAAGAGCTGCGGTGCAGCACGAAGCCGTGGTGCAAAGCGCAGCGCTGAGCTGCAGCAGGAACTGCGACGTGGGTTGCAAAGGAGCGGCAGCAGGAACTGCAGTACGAGCTGCAGGATTGACGGTGACATAAATTGCACCAGGGGCTGCAATAGAAACTGTGGCCTGATTGCAGGGTGAGCTGCAATATAAAGCGCAATATGGGCTGCAAGGTGAGCTCCAATGAGAGCTGCAATATAAACTGCATTATGGGCTGCAATATGAATCCCAGTGTCGGCTCCAATACGAGCTGCAACATAAACTGTGATCTGAGCTGCAAGGTGAGCTGCAATACAAATTGCAATACGAGCTGCAAGGTGAGAGGCAGTATAAATTGCAGTGTAAGCTGCAATATACATTGTATAGGGGCTGCAATATAAGTGTGAATGTGAATCCCAACGTGCACTGCAGTGTGAGCTGCAATATGAGTTGCAATGTGAGCTGCGATATGAACTGCAGCATGGGGTGCAGTGCAAATTGCCATGTGAGCTGCAGTATAAATTGCAGGGTAAGCTGCAGTATAAATTGCTACATGGGTTGCAATATGAATCCCAGCGTGAGCTCCAATATGAGGTGCAATATAAACTGCAATTTGAGTCGCAATCTGAGCTGTAATACAAACTGTGGCCTGGGTTGCAAGAGGAGCTGCAATATAAATTGCAATGCAGGCTGCAATGTGAGCTCCAATGAGAGCTGCCATATGAATTGCAATATGAGCTGCGAGGCAAACTGCAGTGTGAGATGTGATGTGAAATGCAGCACAGGTTGCAATATAAATCACTGTGAGCTGCAATATGGGTTGCAACACGAGCCCCACTGTGAGCTGCAATATAAGCTACAATTTGAGTTGCAAGATGAGCTGCAATATAAATTGCAATATGGGCTGCAATGTGAGTGGCGGCATAAACTGCAATGTGAGCTGCAGTCAGCTGCAATATAAATGGCAACCTGAGCTCCAGCATGAGGTGCAATATAAACTGCAATAGGGGTTGCAACATGATTGGCAATACGAGTTCCAATGTCAGCTCCAACACGAGCTGCAGCACAAACTGTGGTCTGAGCCGCAGGGTGAGCTGCAATCGAAATTGCAATGTAGGTTGCAATGTGAGTTGCAATATAAACGGCAACAGGAGCTGCAGCAGAAATTGCAACATGGGTTGCAATATGGGTGGCAATATGAACCCCAATGCGCACGCCAACATGAGCTGCAACCTGAGCTGCAGTGTGGGCTGCAATATGAATTGCAATGTGAGCTGCAGCATGAATTGCAGTGTGGGCTGCAATATAAACTGCAGCACGGCTTGCAATATAAACTGCAGCACGGCTTGCAATACAAATTGCAACGCGAGCTGCAATATGAGTTGCAATATGGGCTGCAGTCCGACTCCTGACGCGCGCTGCAATATGAGCTGCAAGATGAGCTGCACTGAGTCGCAACACAAACTGCCAGGCGTGCTGCGACGGCAGCTGAGCTGCAACACGAGCTGCAAAGCCAACCGCAAGGCAGCTGCAAGAGGAGCTGCAAGAAGAGCTGCGCCGCAAAACGAAGCGCCGTACAGACAGCAATGGCAGCTGCAGGACGGAGCTGCGCCCCCCCAAAACCCCCCCAGCTGCACCAGGGGGTCCTGGGGGCTGTTGGTGCGGGGGGGCCCGGCCCCGAGCACGGCGGGGGGCAGCGAGGCACTGCGTGGCATTTTTGGTATCGCTGTCATTGGCTGCCAGCCACCCGCGCTCGGGGCTTCGTGTCCCCTTATCCCCCCCCTCCTTCCCCCCCCCCCTCCAATATATTTTCCCCCCCCCGCCCCCTTCATTACCCCAAAAGTTGGGGGGGGGGGGGGGAAGAATGAAAACAAGAAAACAAAACCGAACCCAAAGGCTGAGGGCAGAGGAAGGGCCCAGCTGCAGCTCGTACCGAGCGTGGGACCCCCGACCCCCAGCCCCATAGAGATACATAGCAGAGAGATGGGCAGCTCTGTGCAGTGGAGGCTTGGGGGGGGGGGGGGGGGTTTAAATCTTTTTTTTTTTATTTTTAATCATTTTGTGTTTTTTTTTTTTTTCCTATGTTTTTTTTTTCTTTTTTTTCACTTTTTTTTTTTCACTTTTTTTCCCCCCCTTTATTTTAATGCCGTTCCGGGGGGATTTCGTGGTTTTTTTTGTTTTTTTTTTCTCTTCCCCCTCCCCCCCCCCATTTTCGGACCCCTCCCGGGGCTGTAGTGCATGAGAGCAATGCTGGGGGGGGGGGGATGGGGGGGGGGCAGCCCATTATGTGTGTGTGCCCCCCCCCCCCTAAAAAAGTGCCCCCCCCCAAAGAGCTGATTGAGGCCCCCCCAAAACAAATCACTGCCAGTGACTCCGGGGGGGTTTTTGGAGCAATGCCCCCCCCGTATCGGGTCCCCCCCCGCCCCCCCCCCCCCCAGACCCCTTTTTGGAAGGGGGGTTTTTTTTGCATATTCCCTTACCGGGGGGGGGGCACAGAGCAGTGCAAACGGTGCTCCCTCAACCCCCCCCCATCCCGGAAGCCCCAAAATTGGGGAGGGGGGGGGGAGGGAATGCGAGGGGGGGCGGAGAGGAGGAGGGGGGGGGGGGTGCCATCATTTTATGTCATTTTACATTTTTTTGCCTTTTTGAAACGTTTTTAAGGTGCTTTTCTTGCCGAGGGCGGGTTCTGGTTGATGATGACGGGGTTGGGGGGGGGGAGGGCGCTGTGCCCCCCCATCCCCACCCCCCTGGAGGCGAAGGCAGCGGTGGGGCGGGGGGGGGGCAATGCATTGGGGGGGGGGGAGGGGGGTTCAGCCCGGCCCGAGGGGCGCCTGCGCTGCCCCCATCCCCAAAACCCCAAATGGGGGAGGGGGGGGGGGTCCGGCCGGGGGCTGGGGGGGGGCACTGAAGTATCAGGAATTCTTATTCTTTTTTTTTTCTTTTTTTTAATCCCCCCCCCCGTTTTAAAACCATTCCTGATTTTTGGCCTTTTTTCTTTTTTAAAACCTTTTTTTTTTCTTTTTTTTTTTCGCGATTCCCCCCCCCCAAAAAAAAATAATAAAAAAATCCGATTCTTTTTTTTTTTTTTTTTTCTCTTATCCCGATTCCCCCTCCGGTTCCCCCCCCCTCAATTCTCAACTCTCCCCCCCCCCCCCCCCTCAGTGCCCATCGGTGTCACAACCCGCGTCGGTCCTCAGCCGCGTGGTTTTTAAGGCAAAATCCGGATTTTATGGGGTTTTTTTTGGGGGGGGGAGGGGGGGGGATGGGGGGGGGCTGCATTCCCGGTCAGAGGGGCCGGGCTGCGTCCCATTGCGGGGCTGCGGGGGGGGCACAATACATTCACACGGTTTAAATCCTGCACCGAGAGCCCCCCCCGCTCATAGAGTGTGTGTGTGTGTGGGGGGGGGGGGCTCCCCACGACCCCTTTTCACCCAAACGTTGGGTGATATTGAAGGGGGGGTGCGGGGGGGGGGGGGGGTTGGGGGGCGGGTTTTCTCGGGTTCCCCCCCCCCCCCCCTTCCCCTCCCCCTCCCCCCCTCCCCCCCCCGCCGCCTTTGGTTGCTTAAAAGCGAAAAAAAAAAAAAAAAATTAATAATAATAATAATAATTAAAAAAAAATTATAAAAGAAACAAACAACCCCCCCCTTCCCTCCCCCCCCCCCCCCTCGATAAAATCAGGAAGGGAAAGAAGAGGCGAAGCAAAGGGGCTGCACCCCCCCCCCCCCCGCCTCCCCCCCCCCATTTACAAGAGCAGGGGGGGGTATTGCATATTCGCTGTGTTCGGACAGGACGCATCAGTCTGGAAGACGTTAACGAGGAGGAGGAGGAGGAGCATTTTGGGGGGGGGGGTCGATGGGGGGGGGGGCAAGGATTGGAGGGGGGGGGGCACAGAAACAACGGGAAGAACGGAGCGGCCCCAGCGCACAACATGCAGAGACGAGCGGGCGGACGGACCCCCCCCCTTAATAAAAATCACCCCCCCCCCCCCCCCAAAGCCAGGACCCCCCCGCTATCAGCATGCAGCTCCTCCTGTGCATTGAGGCCGCGGCGGGGTCTCCGGAGGCGAAAAAGGCACATCTCGTGATAGAGAAAAGTCGTGCAAATCGGGACAACAAAAAAGAATTAAAACGAAAAACCGAAAAAAGAAAAAAAAAAAAAAAAAAAAGAAAAAAAAAAAACACGGATTTTTTTTTTCTTTTTTTTTTTTTTTTTTTTTCTTTTCTCCTTTCGGTTTTTTTTTTTTTTTTTCCGCGTCTTTTTTTTTTTTTTTCTCTCAGTCTTTTTATCGCGATTTTTTTTTTTTTTGCTTTTTTTTTGCTTTTTTTTTTTTTTTTTTTTAATTATTTTTTTTTTTTTCCTCCGTCCGGGAAGGGAAGGGGCGGAAGCGCCGCCCGGTTCCGCGGCCTTTGCCATGCGCAGCGCAGCCCCGAAGCACCATGCATCCTCCGCATTCTTACCGCGATTATTTTGCTGTATTCTGCTCTTTTTTTTTGCTTTTTTTTTTCTCTTTTTTTTTTCTTTTTTTTTTTTTTTCTCTTTTTCTCCTAAAAAAAAACCCAAACCCCAAAGTTTCCCTCTGCACCAAAGCGTTTCTGTTTGTTTTGTGGGTTTCTTGTTTTCTTTTTTCGTGATTTTTTCGTTTGCTTTTTGCTTTTTTTTTTTCCTTCTGGGTGGGTTTTGTTCGTTTCGTTGATCCTTTTTTTGTTTGGTTTTGTTGTTTTTTTTTTGGGGGGGGGGTGTTGAGTTTTTGGTGGTTTTCTTCCCCCTGTGACCCCCACGGCGTCACCAAATGCGGTGGGATGGATGGGATGTGGGCCGTCTGCAGGGCCCAGGAGGTCCATGGAGTCTTTGGGGTCCATGGAGGCTGTGGGGTCCTTGGGGTCAATGGGATCTGTGGGATCTGTAGGGTCCATTGGGTCTGTAGGGTCCTTAGGGTCAATGGGATCTGAGGTCCATGGAGTCCATGGAGTCTTTGGGGTCCATGGAGTCTTTGGGGTCCATGGGGTCAATGGGATCTGTTGGATCCATAGGGTCAGTTGGGTCTGTTAGGGTCCATGGGGTCAGTGGGATCTGCGGGGTCCATGAGGTCCATGGAGTCTTTGGGGTCCATGGAGGCTGTGGGGTCCTTGGGGTCAACGGGATCTGTGGGATCTGTAGGGTCCATTGGGTCCGTAGGGTCCTTAGGGTCAATGGGATCTGAGGTCCATGGAGTCCATGGAGTCTTTGGGGTCCATGGGGTCAATGGGATCTGTTGGATCTGTAGGGTCCGTTGGGTCTGTTAGGGTCCATGGGGTCAGTGGGATCTGCGGGGTCCATGAGGTCCATGGAGTCTTTGGGGTCCATGGAGGCTGTGGGGTCCTTGGGGTCAACGGGATCTGTGGGATCTGTAGGGTCCATTGGGTCTGTAGGGTCCTTAGGGTCAATGGGATCTGAGGTCCATGGAGTCCATGGAGTCTTTGGGGTCCATGGGGTCAATGGGATCTGTTGGATCTGTAGGGTCCGTTGGGTCTGTTAGGGTCCATGGGGTCGGTGGGATCTGCGGGGTCCATGAGGTCCATGGAGTCTTTGGGGTCCATGGAGGCTGTGGGGTCCTTGGGGTCTGTAGGGTCCTTGGAGCCAATGGGATCTGTGGGGTCCATGAGGTCCATGGAGGCTGTGGAGTCTGTGGGGTCCTTGGGGTCAATGGGATCTGTGGGATATGTAGGGTCCGTTGGGTCTGTAGGGTCTGTGGGGTTTCTAGGGTCCTTGGGGTCAGCGGGATCTGTGGGGTCCATGAGGTCCATGGAGTCTGTAGGGTCCTTAGGGTCAATGCGATCTGCGGGGTCTATAGGATCCTTGGAGTCAATGGGATCTGAGGTCCATGGAGTCCATGGAGTCTTTAGGGTCCATGGGGTCAATGGGATCTGTTGGATCTGTAGGGTCCATGGAGTCAGTGGGATCTGCGGGGTCCATGAGGTCCATGGAGTCTCTAGGGTCCTTAGGGTCAACGGGATCTGTGGGATCTGTAGGGTCCATGGAGTCTCTAGGATCCTTGGGGTCAATGGGATCTGGGGGGTCCATGAAGTTCATGGAGTCTGTGGAGTCTTGAGGGTCCATGGAGGCTGTGGAGTCTGTAGGGTCCTTGGGGTCAGTGGGATTTGTGAGGTCCATGGGGTCCATGGAGTCTGTGGGGTTCATGGAGGCTGTGGAGTCTGTGGAGTCCTTGGAGTCAATGTGATCTGTGGGGTCCATGAGGTCCATGGAGTCTGTAGGGTCTGTGGGGTCAATGGGATCTGTGGGATCTGTAGGGTCCTTGGGGTCTGTAGGATCCTTGGGGTCAATGGGATCTGAGGTCCATGGAATCCATAGAGTCTTTGGGGCCCATGGAGGCTGTGGAGTCTATGGGGTCTTCGGGGTCAGTGGGATCTGTGAGGTGCATGGAGTCTATGGGGCCTGTGGGGTCTGAGGGGTGTGTGGGGTGCATGAGGTTCATGGAGTCCATGGGTTCTTTGGGTCCATGGAAGCTGTGGAGTCTCTGAGATCCATGGGGTCTGTGGGATCAATGGGGGTTTCTGGAGGCTGCTGAGTCCATGGGATCCATGAGTTCCATGGCGTATGTCGGGTCCATGGGGTCTGTGGGGTCCATGGGTTCCGTGGCATCTGTGGGGTCCATGGGGTCTCCGAGATCAATGGGTGTCCATGGAGTCCCTGGGGTCTGCAGGGTCCGTAGGATCACTGGAGTCCATGGGGTCCATAGTGTCTGTGGGGTCCATATGGGGTCCACATGGGGTCTGTGGGATCTCTGGAGTCCATGGGTCCCGCGGGTTGGCTCCAGGAGCACAGCGCCCCATTGTGACAAGGACATCCAGGGCGGCGGCGGTGCCTTGGGGACACAACGCTGTCCCTTGGGAGCCTTCGCTGTTCTCCTCCTCCTCCTCCTCGCCCGCGGGGGCCACGTCTCAGGTCCCTCTGCTCTAAGGCACTGCCCATGGGGTGGCACGGCCCCCACGACCTCCACGTGGGCACAGAGACGTCCTGCGTGGGTCAGGGACACCTCTGGCTCTTCACGCAATGCTCCGGGGTCAGTTTGCAACTGGTGCCAGCGTTTCAACGCCCTGATGTCAGCGTGCAATGCTCTGGTGCTGGAGTGCAGCGCTCCAATGTCAGCGTGCGACGCACTGCTGCCAGTCTGCAATGCTCTGGTGTCAGTTTGCAACGCTCCGGCGCTGGAGTGCAATGCTCTCGGGTCAATATGTGACGCTTTGGTGCCAGCAAGCGATGCCTGCGCGTTGCTTTGCAATGCTCCAGTACCAGCAAGAGATGCTCCGGTGTGCAAAGCACATCTGGTGTGCGACGCTCTGGTGCTCAGCTGCGTAACGCCGTTTGCTCGGAGGCAGATGTGCAGCTCTCTGGTGCAGATGTGCGATGCTCCAGTGCTGCAAAACCGATGCTCCACTCATGCAGGCAGCGCTCAGCGCCGGCGTGCAACGATGTGCAATGCTCCAAAGTTGGTGTGCGATTGCACCAGCACCGGTGTGCAATGCTCAGTGCTGCTGTGCAATGCTTGGTGACACTGCAATGCTCAGTGCTGCTGTGCAATGCTTGGTGCAGCTGTGCAATGCTTGGTGACACTGCAATGCTTGGTGCAGCTGTGCAATGCTCAGTGACACTGCAATGCTTGGTGACACTGCAATGCTTGGTGACACTGCAATGCTTGGTGCAGCTGTGCAATGCTCGGTGCAGGTGCAGCAGTGCCCGGTGCAGGGGCTTTGTCATCTCCCAGCCCCACCGTGGGGGATTGAGGCACTTGAAGCAATGGGGGTGGGGAGGGTGGGGGGGGTCCGGGGGGGCTCTGCAGTGCCTTCGCTCTCCTCCTTTCCTCCATCGTATTTGCAATTAAAAAAGAAAAACAAAAAACAAAAACACCCCAAAATCCCAAAACCATCCACCCCAGCAAAACCAGTGCCGGGTTCCGTCTGCTCTTCCTCCTCCTCTTCCTCTTTTGTGATTTTTTTGTTTCCTTTTTTTTTTTTTTTTTTGTCTTTTTTTTTTTTTTTTTCAGCTTTCCCTCTTTTCAAAGTGCATTTCCTACAAAATGTGCAACACAATCGGAACCCTCCCTTCCTCATTGCGAGTCCGCACGGTACCCGTCCACAGGAATGCATAGCTCGGGCCCGCGGGGACGCGTGGGGACAGCGCAGAGCAGCCACTGAGCCCTGTCACCCCCCCCCCCCCCCCCGCCCCCTTGGGGACAGCACCAGGAGGGTCCCCACCCCACGTCCCCACGTGGTGCCACCGCCTGTCCCCATGCGCGTCCCCATCTGCGCCCCCCTCAGCCCCCCCCCACCCCCCCCCGCGCGCCCCCTCTCTGCAGGCCCACAGCACTGCCTTGCTGTGCCAGCACGGCCCCGCATCGCGCTGCCAACGTGTCCCCGCGTCCCCCCTGTCCCCGCATCGCGGTGTCCCCACGGCGCGATGGAAGAGCGCGGCCACGTCCCCCCGAATCGCCTCCCCACGGCACCTGGGGGGTGCAGGGGTGGGTAGGGATGGGGGTGGGGGGTTTTGGGAGGGGGGGGGGGGGGTTGTTCATTTCTACTCACGTAGAGGCATGAATGAATGAAATCCCAGCACCTCACACGCGCAGCCTCGCGGGGCCACCGCCGTCACGAGCTGCGTCGGGTCTCAGCCTCGTCGCCGGGCTGGGGGTGGGGGGTTGGGGGGGGGTGAGGGGCCCTAAAGGTCCTTGCAGGGTTATTTTTTTTTGTCCGTTTTTCACTCTATGTGTGTGGTTTGCTTTGCTTTGTTTCGTTTCCTTTCTTCTCCTCCTCGTTCTGTCGGTTCGGGTCGCTGCTGTCGGTTGGTTTTTTTTTTTTCTTTCTTTTTTTTTTTGTTGTGTTTTTTTTTTGTTTGTTTGTTTGTTTTGTTTTTAATCCTTTTCCCAAAAAAAAAAAAAAAAAAAAAAAAAAAAAAAAAAGTTCCAACCTTCTTTCCTTCCTTCTTTCCTTCCTTCCTTTCCCTCTTCTCTTTTCCGTCCGGGATGGGATGGGGTTATTTTTTGTTTTGTTTTGTTTTGTTTTTTGGCTTTGTCGTCGTCGTCGTCGTCGTTGTCGCGATGGCGGTGGTGGTAAATGCACGCTGTCCGCCGGGGGCTCTGCGCCGGGGGGGGGGGGGGTCCTCTCAGGGTGCCTAAAGCAGAGGAGAAGGGAGCGAAGGGTGGCACGGCCGCGCTATCCCAGGTACCAGGACTGCAGAGAGAAGGAGAGGCGGCGTTAGTGCTGCAGCCCCGAGTGGAGGCCGAGGGGGGGATGGACGCCCTCACCCGGTGGCGCTGGGCCACATCTCCTGTCCCCCGTGCCGCCGGCCCCGCTGCGCTGGCAGCCCGCGACCAGCCGTGCTGGGGCTGCTGCGCATCCAGGAGCTCCCGCGCCGTGCCACCGTGTCCCCGTGTCCCCGTGCCACCTTCGCGATTCCGTGTCACCGTGTGCCCCCCCCCAGGTCCACAAATCCCCACGTCACCGTGCCCCCCTCCATGTCACCACGTCCCCAGGTCACCGCGCCACCTCCGCATCCCCGTGACGCTGCACCCCATGTCACCGTGTGCCCCTCCACGTCACCATGCCACTCCACCCCTCCACGTCCTCAAGTCACCGCAGCCCTCCATGTCCCCGTGTCCCCGTGTCACCGTGCTCATCCACATCCGCATGACCTCAAGTCCCCACATCCCTGTGCCCCTGCAAGTCCCTCCATGTCCCTGCATCCCTGCGCCCCTTCATGTCACCGTGTTCACATCCCCACGTCCCTAAGACCTCACGTCACTGTGACCCTTCATGTCACCATGGCACTGTGCCCCTCAATGTCCCCACATGCCCATGTCACCGTGCTCCTCAACATCCCCACGTCCCCAAGTCCCCATATCTCTGTGCCCCTCCATGTCACTGTGTCCCCTCCACGTCTCCATGCCCTTATGTCACTGTGCTCCTCAACGTCCCCAAATCCCCACATCACTCTGACCCTCCCTGTCCCCATATCTCTGTGCCCATCCATGTCACCATTCTCCTCTGTCACTGTGTCCTTCCATGTCCCCCCATCACTGTGCCCCCTCCACGTCCCCATGTCCCCATATTTCTGTGCTCCTCCACGTCCCCATGTCCCCATGTCGCTGTGCCCCTCCATGTCCCCACATCCCCTGCCCAGCTTTCCCTTCTGCCAGCAGCAAGACGGGTCCCCACCACCCCACACTGTCCCCATCAGTGCCACCCCACCGAGCAAATCCCCATTTTGGGGCCACCGTGCCCCAAACCACCCCCCCCCCCCCCACCTCCCCATGGCGATTTTGGGGATGGCTTCACCCCACCAAGGCGCTGCGGTGACACCCCCAGGGTTCTCCCCTTGGGGACAGCGCTGTCCCCAGCTCAGAGGTGGTGGGGCGGGGGGGGGCCCCCCACTGCTCTCCCATTGTCTCCAGCCTCCCCAAGTCCAAGTTCATCCCCGATGACCTCATGTCTGGTTTCCGTTGGCAACGAGACAGCTCGGGGGCCTCCGTTTCCCTTAACCCTTCCTGGCCCCTCCACACATGAACCGAGAGCGCCGGGTCTCAGCCGATCCCCGCTCCCCAACGTGTCCCCCCCCCTCAGTCTCACACCCAGCTATGGGGACACCCACAGTCACTGCAGGGGACCCGCTGGGGGTGGCACGTTGCTCAGTGGGGGCGTCCCTGTGCCCAGTGATGCCACGGGGCCGTGGCTGTATTGCAGTGGGACGGGGGACGTGGCCAAGGGGGGGGGTCACCTGGAGACCCCCTGCTATCGCCGTGCCCACGCTGGGGACGCTGCAGTGACAATGGTGACGATGCTCACGGTGCTGGCTGTGCCCACGGCGGCGGTCGGACGGCGGCGATGCCCACAGCCCAAATCCCCACGGCTGCAGTGCCTGCAGTGCTGCTGCCCGCCTGGTGGCGCGGCGATGCCTGAAGCAGTAACAGCGTGGTGGCAGTGCCACAGCTGCAGCGCCTGAGGCAGTGATGCCTTGGTGACACCACGATGCCCATGGTGCCAATGCCACGTCTGCAAGAGCACAGTGCTGATGCCCACGGCAGCAACACCACAGTTGCGATGCCACGGCATCGGTGCAGCGCTCACAGCAGCAATGCCTGCCGGTGCAGTGCTTACAGCTGCAGCTCTACTGCAGTGGTGTTCACAGCTGCAGCACCACAGCAATGACGCCCACTACTGCAACGTCCACAGCTGCAATGCCCACGGCTGCAGCACCACGGCAGTGATGCCCACCACTGCAATGCCTACAGCTGCAATGCCCACAGTTGCAGCACCACGGTTGCAAAGCCCACGGTTGCAGCACCATGGCAGCGAAAGCCCACAGCAGCAACACCAGGCAGCGATGCCCACTATTGCAGTGACAGTTGCAGTACCATGGTTGCAAAGCCCACGGTTGCAATGCCCAAGGTTGCAGCACCACGGCAGTGCCGCCACAGCTGCAATGCCTGCAGCTACAGCACCACGGCAGCAATGCTCACTGCTGCAGTGCCCACAGCTGCAGCACCAAGGCAGTGCTATCCAACTACTGCACTGCCCACTGCTGCAGCACCACAGCAGTGATGCCCCCTGTTGCAAGGCCCCCCTGTTGCAGGGTCCAGTCAGCAATGCCCGCTGCAGCACTGCCACAGCCCGGTGCCCACGGCGGTGACGCTCACGCTGATGCCACACAGGGCGAAGGCAGCAGGGTCCCCCCAGCACCCGCCCCATCTCACCTGTGCCTGATAGATACTCCCAGGATCCCTTGGTCCTAATCCCACGAAGGAACGGTTCGCAGGGGGCGTGCCTGGTGCAGAGTAGGCTGGGGAACAAACGAGAGCTGATTAACGGCGCTGTGGGTGGCAATGCCATCAACCCCCCGCTGCAGGGATGGGCGTCCCAGGCACCCGGGGCTGGGTGAGGGGCCCGGCCCCACGGCACGGCCGCTGGGCACAGTGCCACGCAGCGCCCACCATGGGATGGGGTCCGGCAAAGGGACCCCACGGAGGTGGTGACAGCGGGCTCCGTGTCCCCTCGGGACAGACAGCCTGTGCCTGGGGGGGACTGGCACTGCCCAGCCCCCTCCCCGAGGCCCTGGTTGATCTCAGGCCACGAGCTGAAACATCCCACCACGAAACGTTAACGCCACCAACGCTCAGCATCCACGCTCCGGCTGCTGGCCCCTGGTGGTGCCCCCTTGGTGCAGTGACACGGGGACGTTCCCCACCGCCACCACGCTCCTGAAACCCCCGCAGCCCCACGCATTGAAATCCCCAGGAACAGAGCACAGGGGGCTGAGTTCATTAGCCGCCACCGCTAACGAAGCACAGTGTTGACATCCGGGGGGGGCTTGGCCAGCCCTCCCGCTCCAGCATCACCCCGCAGCCGGTGGGGACCCTGCTATGTGGGCCCCCCCCGAGCCCAGCGCCGCACCGTCCCCGCAGCACCGCTGGGGAAACCGAGGCACGGAGAGACGCAGCCTGGGCTCACGGCTCCGCCGCCTTCTCCTGCTCCGCCGGCCTCCCAGGGGGGGCCACGAGGCTCCTGCCGGTCCAAGGGACCAACTTGGAACCCCACACCCCCCCAGGGGGTGGGAAGAACGGGGCGCCGTGCGCCCTTGGTCGCCCTGCCCGAGACCTGGCAAACTCGTGGCACGCATCCCGGAGGAGGTTGGGGGGCCGGCGGGTGGGCGGGCGCCGCGGGGTGCTTACTGGGTGACGTCGGTGAGGTCGTCCCTCCCTCCGAAGTTGTCGTGGCTGATTTGGTGTCAGGAGAGACGGCCAAGCGGGGCATGCCGGGGGGAGGTGGCGGTGCCAGCATCTGCGTGGGCAGGTAGTGGCTGGGCACTTTCACTTGACCACTTCCATTTAACTGGGGACACAACACAGACACAGAACACAAAAAACAGCACAAAGGCATTAGGGAGGGCGGCGCGGCCCTCGGTGGCACGAGTTTGCTGGGTCTCAGAGCTGACGGCGCCGATGAAACCCCAGCTGGGGGTCACAGGGTGGGGGGATCACAGTGCCGGCCTCGATCCGGCCCGACCCCGCCTGGGAAGGGCGGCTGTGCCCCACATCGTGGTGTCAGACCCCGGGGGGGCTGAGCGGGGGGTCCCCAGGACCCTCTGTGCTTGGTGACGGAGCTGCGGTCTTTCAGGGTGCTGCAGAGATGGAGGTCACCACTGGTGTCAATGCAAAGGGAGCGTGGTGCAGGGAGCTGGGTGCACGAGGTGCATGGTGTGCTGGGTGCATGGTGCAAATGGCGCCGGGTACACGGGGTGCAAGGGGTGCCTGGGGTGCAGGGAGCTGGGTGCAAGGGGTGCCTGGTGCACGGTGCACATGGTGCACATGGTGCTGGGTGCATGGAGTGCCTGAGCTGCTGGGTGCATGGTGCACAGGAAGCACGGGGTGCATGGGGTGTGTGGTGCATGGCGTGCGTGGGGTGCAGTCTGCATGGTGCACAGGGTGCTGGGTGCACAGCGTGAGTGATGCATGGAGCATGGGGGTGTTGGGTTCATGGTGCACAGGGTGCACGGGGTGATGGGAGAATGGGATGCACGGGCTGCTGCATGCACAGAGTGCACAGAGTGAGGAGTGCGTGGGGTGCACGGGGTGCTGGGTGCACAATGCATAGGATGCACGGAGTGCCGGGTAGGCAGGGTGATGGGAGACTGGGGTGCAGGGGGTGAGGGGTGCAGGGGACGCTCGCAGTGCTGGGCGAAAGGCACGCCGTGTGCATGGGGTGCGCAGGACGCTGGGTGCATGGCACACAGATGCTCGTGCCCCACAGCTCAGGGTGCTTGGCTACACCCGAGCAGCACGGCCGGGGCCGCGGGCTGAGCGGCGCGCTGGCTGCGCACGGTGCGGGGCGTGAAGGCTGACGGTGCGCCGGGAGCACGGAGGACGCTGGGTTTGAGGCATGCTGGGCGCACGGGGAGCCGGTTTGTGCAGAGGGCGCTCGGTGCACGGCATGCTGGAAGTGCGGGGGGCAGAGACGGGCGCACAGCAGGACCCCCCCCATCCCCGGGACCCCCCCTCTCCCCCAGGACTCCCCCAGCAGGATGCGGCGCGGACCGACGGGTCCCCAACTGCTGCAAGGGCGCACGGACCGACGGGGCACGGGGAGCTCCAGGACGGTGCCTCTCTGCAGACGCTCACACCCACAGCCCACCCCCCAACAACCCACCCCCTCTCCACGTGACGGCTCAGCCCCACAACCTCATCACCAACCACCAAAGCGCCGACTCCATTTCTGCACCAAACCAATGCCGACGCTCATTTGGGGCCGCAAAACCCCAAGCGCCGGCTGCCGGCACCCCGCGGAGCAGCTCACCACGTCACACCCCACGTCCCCACCGCATCGCACCCCACGTCCCCATGCGGCGACACCACAAATCCCCACGGCCACGCGCTGATGATGGTTCTTGGCTCCCCCGTCCCCACAGGATGGCCGTGTCCCCAAGGGATGGCTGCGTCCCCCTGGGGTGGCCGTGTCCCTGCGGTGGGAGCGGCGCTGGGATGTGGGAGCCTTACCGGTCCAGGCTGCTGGTTGGACGGGTCGCAGGCCAGCGAGACGAGATCTTTCAGTGGGTCCTGCGGGTTGAGATGAGGCGGGTACCGGATGGCCGTGTGCGGGAAGTAGGTGGAGGCCGTCTGGGGGAGAATGGAGGTGGTGGGGAAATGCAGCGTGGATGAAGGGTGCGGGCTGCGAGCGATACCTGCAGGTGGAACAGGGACCAGGGGTGAAGGGAGGGGACGGCGTCACCGAGAGCCCACGGGGGTCCCGTGTCACCCCACGGGGGTCCCGCGTCACCCCACAGCCCCGGCTCACCGCTGTGCACCGCGATGACGGGACGGTGGTGCTGCGTGAAGCTGCTCAGGCGGGGTGAGGAGTCCTGCGGCGAGGGGCTGTTGAAGGGCGATTTGTCCATCTCTGTCTTCACGTTGGGGGAGATGCCTGTGGGGCCGGGGGGGGGGGGTGGTGGTGTTAGGGGCCGAGCGCCCCACGGTGTCGGGGTGCAAAAGGGGGGGCTGTGCGTGCAGCCTCGGGCCGCACGTTCGTTTGCAGCAGCTGCTTGCAGCTGTGTTTTGCACTTGTGCACCTTTGTGTGTGCGCGTGCAAAGATCGGGGCAGGCGTGCGACGCTGCGTGCGCATCTGGGCGGCTGCGCGTGGCTGTGCAGCAGCAGCAGTGTGTGTGCACAGCTGTGTGCCGGAGACCCTGAGCTCGCCACGTTTGTGCACCAGCACGCTGCTGTGCGCGTCGCTGTGCACCAATATGTCCGTGCACGTGCACCGCGTGTGCTTCACGCCCTCCCCACGGCGCTGTGGGCACCCGCAGAGCCCCGATGTGGGGCAGGACGTGGGGGTTCGCTGCTGGCTTCCTGAACCGTGGGGGTGGGCGGGTGGTTAATCCCCCCCAGCTTTAGCCGCGGCCATTTGGCCCTGGTGCTGCTAATGGGTTTAGTGCTGTCTGAGTCGCTGCGTTAGGAGGATTTCCCGGAACATCCAGTACAGGATTGCTGTAAAGCCCACCATGCCGAGCACGTCCCGCTGCCCCCCCTTCCCCAACGGGATCAGCCCACTGCCAACCTCCTCCTGCCCCCTCCGTGGCCTCATGACACGGCCTCAGGCTGGGGGCGCAGTCTGGTTTGTATAGCGCGCAGACCCTGGCTCATATGGGGCACAGCTCATATAGGGCACCATTCCCAGCCCATATGGAGCAGTGTTCCTGGTCCACATAGGGCACAGTCCTCGGCCCATATGGGGCACAGTTCCTGGTTTATATAGGGCACCATTTCCAGCCCATATGGGGCACAGTCCCTGGTCCACATAGGGCACAGTCCCTGGTCCACATAGGGCACAGTCCTCAGCCCACATGGGGCACAGACCGCAGCCTATTTGGGGCACAATCCCTGACCAATATTTGGCACAATCCCTGGTACACACAGGGCTGAGTGCCTGGCATACATGGGGAACAGTTAAAGGGCCATATAGGGCACAGACCATCTTCTGTATGGGGCACAGTCCATCACTCTTTGGGTCACAGGCCCCGGCCTGTATAGGGCACAATCTCCAGCCCATATGGGGCACAGAACCTGGTCCATAGGGAGCACAGACCCTGGCACATGTTGGGCACAGTCGCTGCTCCTCATAGGGCACAGTCCATATGGGGCACAGTTCTCCAAACACAGAGCACACAGTGCCCTGCTATGGGCATCCATATGGGGTCTGGGGGCCGCTGTGGGGTTGACCCCACATTTAGGGCAGCACAGTGACCTACAGCAGGCACTGGGGAACAGACCCCAAGGACTTGAGAACATCACCAAGAGGACAATACCACTCTGGGATGAAAACCCCATTGGGAAGGGTTTTTCTCCCACGGCACACAAAAATCCCACTCATCTCTCCGATGGGCTCTGTGCCCCCTGCTCTGCTCCCCAGGCACCCCACAGCTGTGGGATGGGGTCCGTGGGGTGTGGATCCCATCCTACCATTGGGGTGTGGGATGGGATGGGGGGGAGATGAAAGCAGGGGGGGCTCAGCTGCCCATAAGGTGCCCCAGGGCGTGGGAGCCGCCGTGCCAGCCCTGCAGCATCGCTTTAATTAGCCCAACCCACCCCAGCCCCCCCTTTTCTTAATGAACAGCTAATTGGGGCTGTCTAGACAGGAAAGGGAAAAAAAAAAAAGGAAAAAAAAAAAAAGCAAAGCAAGAAAGAAATCTGTCCGCAGTGCAAACGGCAGCTGTGGGGCTGGGAGAGGCTGCTGTGGGGCTGGCCCTATAGGGAGCGTGTGCCTGAATGGGGGGGTCCCAAGGAAACCCCATAGCACCTATTGGGGTCTGTGTCTAAATGGGATGGATCCTATAGGAAGTGGGGGGTCCTACAGCAACCCCATGGCACCTATGGAGGGTCTGTGTCTAATTGGGGGGATCCTACAGCAACCCCAAGGAACCTATAGGGGGTCTGTGTCTAATTGGGGGGATCCTACAGCAGCCCCAAGGAACCTATAGGGGGTCTGTGTTTAACTGGGGGGATCCTACAGCAACCCCAAGGAACCTACAGGGGGTCTGTGTCTAATTGGGGGGATCCTACAGCAGCCCCAAGGAACCTATAGGGGGTCTGTGTCTAATTGGGGGGATCCTACAGCAGCCCCAAGGAACCTATAGGGGGTCTGTGTTTAACTGGGGGGATCCTACAGCAGCCCCAAGGAACCTATAGGGGGTCTGTGTCTAATTGGGGGGATCCTACAGCAACCCCAAGGAACCTATAGGGGGTCTGTGTCTAATTGGGGGGATCCTACAGCAACCCCAAGGAACCTATAGGGGGTCTGTGTCTAATTGGGGGGATCCTACAGCAACCCCAAGGAACCTATAGGGGGTCTGTGTCTAATTGGGGGATCCTACAGCAGCCCCAAGGAACCTATAGGGGGTCTGTGTCTAATTGGGGGGATCCTACAGCAACCCCAAGGAACCTATAGGGGGTCTGTGTCTAATTGGGGGGATCCTACAGCAGCCCCAAGGAACCTATAGGGGGTCTGTGTCTAATTGGGGGGATCCTACAGCAACCCCAAGGAACCTATAGGGGGTCTGTGTTTAACTGGGGGGATCCTACAGCAGCCCCAAGGAACCTATAGGGGGTCTGTGTCTAATTGGGGGGATCCTACAGCAGCCCCAAGGAACCTACAGGGGGTCTGTGTTTAACTGGGGGGATCCTACAGCAGCCCCAAGGAACCTATAGGGGGCCTGTGTCTAATTGGGGGGATCCTACAGCAGCCCCAAGGAACCTATAGGGGGTCTGTGTTTAACTGGGGGGATCCTACAGCAGCCCCAAGGAACCTATAGGGGGTCTGTGTTTAACTGGGGGGATCCTACAGCAACCCCAAGGAACCTATAGGGGGCCTGTGTCTAATTGGGGGGATCCTACAGCAGCCCCAAGGAACCTATAGGGGGTCTGTGTCTAATTGGGGGGATCCTACAGCAGCCCCAAGGAACCTATAGGGGGTCTGTGTCTAATTGGGGGGATCCTACAGCAGCCCCAAGGAACCTATAGGGGGTCTGTGTTTAACTGGGGGGATCCTACAGCAGCCCCACGACACCTATAGAGGGTCTGTGTCCCAGTGGGGGGCTGGCAGCACCTCTGCCCCAAGGGCCCCATAGCACTGCACCAACACAGAGCTCCTCCGCTGCCCTGCAGCAACACCACAGCCTGTGCAGGGAAGCCCCGACCCACCGTGCCACACGGCAGCCCCACAGGGGGCAGCCCCACACTCACCCCCTTCCATGTCCTCTGTCCAGTTGCGGCTGCTACTCGTGGGTGAGTTGGACGAGGTGTAATACTCGCCGCCGGGGCTCGTGTCGATGTCATCCTCCATGGAGCCAGACTTGTGCCGTTTGCTCCTGAGAACAGCCAGAGGTCAGCATCCCCTGCCACGCTATGGGGCTGCTGTGACATCAGCGGGGTGACCCCAAGGGAGGCGGCCACACGGAGCCCATCCTGCCCGCGTGCCATGGTCCCCAACCCCAGGGTGACACTGGGACGCGCTGTGCCCATGGGGATGCGCCTCGAGCCCCGCCGCTGGGGTGCTAAAATCTGGTAGGGTGTGAACACACAGTGCAGAGCAAAACCCGTCCTGGGGTGCGAAACCCAACAGTGGAGGGGAGAGGGTGGCCAAACCACGCTGGGGTGCAAAACTGCGTTGGGATGCAAAGCCACGGCCGGATGCTGACACAGCACCGGGGTGAAGAAACCACACTGGGGTGCTGACACCAGGATGGGGTGCAAGAAATGGTGGCGGGATGCAAAACCCAATACTGGGCTGCCAAACCCACACACCGGAGTGTTGAAACTATTCTGGGATGTCAAAGCTGCGACAGGTTTCAGAACCACGTTGCCAAGACCATATCGGGGTACCAAACCGTGCCGGGGTACCCAAATGGCTGCACGGTACCAAAGCAGCAGGGCAGCAGCCCACCCCTCCAGCTCCCCCCCACCCACCCCACAGTGCAGGCAGCCTGGCAGCACACGGCAGGACCCGACGCGCCCATGCCGTCCCACACAGCCGTGCCTGGACCGGTCCCAGCATCGCCCCCGCGCCGCCCGGCGGCACCCACCCGCTGGAGGAGGTGCTGGGCAACGTCCTCCTCATGCCCGTGCTGGAGGGGTTCAGGTCGTAGGCCAGGTGGCCCTGCAGCTCCCCCAGGGAGAAATTTGGGCCCGTGCCCGTCACCACCGGCGCTGTGGGGAGAGGATGACATCGGTAAGGGCACAGTGACACCCCAGGGCGGCACCGGCAGGGTGGGTGCCGGGGAAGGGGCTCTGGGATGGCACTCACTTCGGGACACCTGGATGAGCTCGGTGACACTGAACACCCCCGAGGTGACGAAGCTTTCCTGGAAGTCTGTGGAGTCTGTGTTTGGGAGGGGAGAGCGTGAGTGGGGGGTGCCACGATGCCCTGTGCACCCACACCTCCTCCTGTGCACCCAGAAGAGGCAGAGCCCCATCCCCCACCCCTTCCACATGTGTCCGTGCTGCACCCAAGACCAAGGTCAGCTGCTCTGGGATGCACGCCCCGTCGAGCAGGGTGACGTGTCCCCACCGTGTCCCCAAACGCCCCACAGATCAGGGTGCTGGCACCCCACGTGGTCCCCACTGCGTCCCCTCTTACCCAGCGTGTTGGGCTTGGTGTCCTCCTGGTCCGAGGCGATGCCCGTCCGGGGACTGCTGCTCTGCTCGGAATCTGGGAGAGGGAAAAAGGGGTTGAGACGTGGGGAAACTGAGGCACGGCCGTCCCCAAATGCTGTAACCCACAACCACAGCGGCACATCGCTGCTCACGGGGACCCCCGGGGCTCCGTCACAGGGCGGCAGGGCTGGGGACGGCCTGAAGCAGATGCTCCCCATCCCTGTGGGGCTGTGACACGGCCACCACCCCGCTGACAGCCCCGCTTGGCCCTGGGCTAAAAATACACGCACAGACGCTGAGCTCAGCAGCCATGGGAGCATCCTTCCTCCCGACCCCGGCGCACGGCGCATCCCGGGCCCTGCGGAGCCCTCCAAGCATTCGCCCATCTTTATTATTTTTATTCTTTTTTTCATTTCCCCCCCCTTCCCTCCTCCTTCTCCCACCCCTTTGGCCGTCAGCAGTGCTGCCTGATGCCAGGAAAAGGCTGAGACAATCCAAACAGCGCAGCCACAACACCGCCGCCCGCCCGCCGCTTTCTTTTCTCCATTTCTTTTATTATTATTATTTTTTTTTTCCTTCAACGTTTCATTCTTTCCTTTCTTTTCTCCCCCCCTCCCCCCCCTCCCTTTCTCCCCCAACAGCCATTTTGTGCCCCATCCCACCCAACACCCCACTCCGCTTCCTCCGGAGCGGCCATTTTAGGGAGCAGAAATTCCCCCTTGCGTTCAACGCGGCACCGTTGGCTTCTTCCCCATTTCCCCAACCCCCCCCCCCCTCCCCAATTTGGAAAACCAAAGCGCGCCCCATCATCACTGAAGGATCTGGAACGTGGGACCCCCATCTTGATGCTGGATGCAGCCCCTCTCTGCGGCACAGCGCCGGCGAGGCTCTGGATGTGGTTAGAGATGGAGCGCGGCCAAGTGTGGGATGGTGGTGAGCAGCTTTGGGCTCAGTGCTGCAGCACCGCTCCCCCCAGCGCCTCACCCCACGTCCCGTGGGCTCTGGGGTCACCCCAAGCTCCCGATGTGGTTCTTCCCACCTCCGCCACCCTTTGCTCGCATCACCTGCGCTCACTGGAAGGCGCCCCTCGTTGCACCGTCACACCACAAACGGACCTTTGCTCCCCCCACGACGCTGACCCCAAGGCCCTGTGGTCACCCCAAGATGTCTCTCGTGGTCCTTTCATCCCACCGTGACACCAGGATGCTCCTCGTAGCCTCTTGGTTGCACCGTGACATAAGGATGACCCCGCGGCCCTTCGGTCCTCCCAGGACGTCCCAAATAGCGCTTCCATACCCCACATCTCTCCAGTGGCCATCTCAAAAGGCTCTTATCCCTCCCAAAATACTTCACTGGTCACCCCAAGATGGACAATACAGCACCTTCATTGCCCCAGATATCTCCTCCAGCTCTTTGGTCACCTCAAGATGCCCCACATGGCTCTTCCACCCCCCAAAATGCCACCCATAGCCCTTTGGTCATCCCAAAATGAAACTAGATGATCACTACGGTCCTTTTCAGCCCAAGCCATTCTATGATTCAAATGGCTCTCCCACGCTCCACATACCTCCCATGGCTCTTTGGTGATGCCCCAAATGGCTCCTCCAACCTCCAAAGCACCTCCCATAGCCCCACGGTCACTCCAAGGTGCCCCAAATGATTCTTCCCCCCCCAAAAATACTTCACTGCTCAAACCAAAATGACCAACACAGCCCTTCCATCACTCCAAATATCTCCTCTAGCTCTTTGGTCGCCTCAAGGTGCCTTCCACCCCCTAGAATACCACCCATGGCCCTTCGGGTCATCCCAAGATGCCCCAAATGGCTCTTCCATCCCCCAAAATATCATCCACAGCCCTTTGGTCACCCTCAAGATGTCCCAAATTGCTCTTCTCCCCCCCAAAACACTTCCTTGGTCAATTCAAAATGGCCAACACAGCTCTTCCATCACCCCCAGAAACCCCTGAAGGCCCTTTGGTCATCCCAAGATGCCCCAAATGGCTCTTCCATCCCCCAAAATATCATCCATAGCCCTTTGGTCACCCCAAGACGTCCCAAACGGCTCTGTAACACTGCAGACTTTTGGTCACCCCACGATGCCCCCCTAAAAAACCTCACCGGTCACCCCAAGAGCTCTTCTCTCACAAAACACCTTCCTGAGGTCACCCCAAGACGCCCCCCGTGGCTCTTCCACCCCCAAAAGCGCCACCCAACCCCACGGGCTCGCTAAATCACCCCCCTCACCCCTCTGAACCCCCACAAGTCCTTCGCTCACCCGTCCCTTATCCCCCATTGGGGCACCCCAACCCACCGACCCCCTCCCTGCCCCCCCAAAGGCAAACCCCCGCACCCTCACGTCTCCAATTCTCCCATCGCTCAGGTTCTCCCACCCCCCATCAGGAGCCCCGTTATGGGGCTGGGGCCCCCCCGGCAGCCTGGGGCTGTGTGTGCCAGCACATTTCTGGCTGCCTCGCCGCGCCGTAGCGGCCGGCCAAGCTCTGTGCTCACCGCCATGTGACGGCTGCCTGCGGCCGGCCAACGCTCACTAAAATGGCGTGCCTTCCCCCCCCCGACCCCCCCACATCACCTAAAGGGGCTCAGGGGGTCCCCGCAGCCATCATTCAGCTCAGGTGCAACGGGGAGGTGTGGGCACCCCAAAGAGCTGCACCCCGAAGCATTACTGCTGTTGGGAACCCCCCCAAGTTTTTTCCTTTTGCATGGGGGGGGGGGGGCTGCAAGCAGGAATTATTGGGGGGGGGGTAACATGTAGGGCATGGGGTTAAGTGCCAGCGTTCCCCCCCACAGCGCTGTGCTGAGCCTGGGTGCCCAAACAGGTCGATGGCTCTTAAAAGTAGCAAAGTGTGCCCGTGGAAAGGGGGAGGAGGGGGGGGAGAAAGGGGGAGGGCAGGGGGGGCTGATAGGGGCTGCCTGGCAGCCTGGCGCTGTGCCACCCATTGAATTATGGCCTCCCCGGGTTGGCAGGGTGCCCCCACCCCATGGCACCGCCGCTTGGGAACGGCCCCCCCCCCCACAGCAATCCCCGCTGGGGCCTCACCACCCCAACTGGGGCTGTGCTCGGCAGGAGGGGGGGGTCCTTGCTGGATGGGCTCCCCCCGGGGCTGAGCCCTGGCTGTGTGCCCGAGTGCTGACGGTAACAGGGCACGGCGTTACTGGCAGCGGTGCGGGGGGAGATGCTTGGTGTGGGGGGGGCCGTGGGGGTCTGTGTGCCTCAGTTTCCCCAGGGTTAACAATCCCCCCCCCAATCCTTCCCTCTATGGCTGTGCAGCCCCCGCACCCCCTCACCCCTCCATCATAGGACCATCAGAGTGACCAGCCATGGGAAGCTGAGCTGGGGGCTGTGGGGTGCGATTTGGGACCCTCCCCCTTTACCCCTCCCCACCCCATCAGCACAGCTCTCCCCACTGCCCCATACACAGCTCCCCACACACAGCTCCCCATACAGAGACCCCCATACACAGACCCCCACACACAGCTCCCCATACAGAGACCCCCATACAGAGACCCCCATACACAGCTCCCCATACAGAGACCCCCATACAGAGACCCCCATACACAGCTCCCCACACACAGCTCCCCATACAGAGACCCCCACACACAGCTCCATACACACAGCTCCATACACACAGCTCCCCACACCCAGATCCCAGCCCCGTCCTGCTTGTGCAACCTCCCCTATGCAACCTCCCAGCACCCCAAAGCCCGGCTCAGCCTGGCTACCCCTGACCACCCCCCCCCCCCCCCCAGCCCCAACGCCCCCCATTCACACTGCGATGAGTTTGCCAGCCCTCAGCCCCCCCTGTAAACCCGAACAGGGGTTTGCTCGCTGCTCGGAGGTGGCTGGGCTGCCACGTTTGCTGGTTGCAGCCAGCTGGCCCAGGCGGGCTGTGAGCTCCGAGCTGCTGCTTGCTGTCCTCGGCCGACCCCGAGAGAGCGGAGACGGCGGCGGCGGCGCGGGGGGAACGGAGCCCCCCTCCAACACAGAGCTGGGCTGGTGCCAGAGCCGGGACAGATGGCAGGGGACAAAGGGACGGGAGGGGGGCGGTGGGTGATGCTGGCCCCCGCTCGTTGGATGGGACGGGGGGATGAGGAAGCGATGGGGCCCTGAGAGCTTCTCTAGGGGGTGGAAGGGATGGGGAGACCTGGGGGCACGGAGGTGCTGGCAGGAGGAGCTGGGATGTGGGATGGGAGGAAGGGGGAGAAGGGGGGAGAAAACGGGGGAAGGAAAAAAGAGAAAGGGAAGGAGAAAGGAGAAAGGGGAATAAGAGGGGGAAGGTAAGGAGAGAGGGGGGAAAAGAGGAAAGTAAAAGAAAACAGGGAAAGGGAAAGATGGAACTAAAAGGAAAAGAGAAGAAGGGAAAGGAAAAGAGAAAGGAAAAGAAAAGCATGAAAATGGAAGAAAAAGAGAAAGAGAAGAAGGAAAAGAAAAAGAGAAAGGAAAAAGAGAAAGAAAAAGAGAAAGAAAAGGAAAAAGAGAAAGAAAAGGAAAAAGAGAAAGAGAAAGAAAAGAAAAAGAAAAAGAAAAAGAAAAAGAAAAAGAAAAAGAAAAAGAAAAAGAAAAAGAAAAAGAAAAAGAAAAAGAAAAAGAAAAAGAAAAAGAAAAAGAAAAAGAAAAAGAAAAAGAAAAAAGAAAAAGAAAAAGAAAAAGAAAGAAAGAAAAAGAAAATAAGAAAGAAAAAGAGAAAGAAAAAAAGAGAAAGAAAAAGAAAGAAAAAGGGAATGAAAAAAAAGAAAGAAAAGTAAAGGAAAAAGGGAAAGGAAGAAAAAGGAATGGAAAAGAAAAAGGAAAAGGAAAGGCAAAAAAAAGAAAAAGAGGAAAAGAGAAAGAAAGAAAGAAAGAAAGAAAGAAAAAGGAAATAAAAGTGAAAAGGAAAAGAGAAAAACAGAGAAAGAAAGAAAAGGAATAAAAGAAAAACTGTAAAGGAATGAAGGAAAGAGAAGCAGGGAAAGAAGAAACAAAAGCAAAAAGAAGGAGAAGAAAGAATGAAATGAAGGAGGGAAGGAAGGACGGCAGTGACTGCACACAGCACTGAGGCAC